GTGACAGTGGAAGAATATCATGTAAGGAAAAATATCCTGTGAGTAAATTACATCTAAAAAATTTGTACTTTAGAAAATTAACCTTCACAAAAGTTTTTAAAATTTTTTTGTTCTATTTTTTCCCTGTGGAATAAAATATTATAGATGTTTATAAGAAATTCAGCCAAGAAAAATCCCCAGTTAGTTTGCACTCATTTGTATTTTAATATAATGTCTCTGTATATTAGTCTTCAGTACATGCTTTTGAATCGCTTTTCCAGTGGTGGTAAGAGTTTGCAACAGCACTTTGTTCTTAATGGCTTCTCCTGGTACATGGGACACTCTAAGATTTGAACAGAGCCAATGTCTCAGAAAATGACCATCTTTTTCTTAAAAAAATTCAGATCTGAGGTTGAAAGAAAAATAGAGATAATGTATGCTCAATCATGGTTACCAGTTTTAAGAATGGCTTTTGAGAATATCAACTAATAAATATAAATAGGATACTGATTAGAAAATCATTGTTTTGAAACTGTTATTGAAATAATGATCCAAGCAAGAATCATTAATTGGTGCTAAATTTGAAAATGCTTGATAAAGGCAAGAATATTTAGAGTCTCAAAATATCTTAACAATGGATAAACCTGGAGGTCACCACCCAACTGTTAGTGGGGAAAAAACAGCACCAGGCATTAGCAATGAGTTAGGTGGAATGTCAGTTCAGCAACCCCTGTACTTGAGTTTGTCTTGAAAGCATTGTTTCTAATTCTTTTAAAAAAATAAAAATCCACCTTTATTGGGATAAAAATCATATGAAATAAAATTTGCCCTTTTAAAGTTTATGATTTAGTGTTTTTTTAAAATTTTTTAAATCTACTCACAGAGTTGTGCAACCATCATCATGATCAATTTAGAACATTTTTTTAATCATCCTTAAAAGAAACTACACTTTGGCAATCAATCCCGTTCTCCCCCACCCCCTTATCCTGTCATCCACTAATCTACCCTCTGTCCCTATGAATTTATCTATTTCAGAATTTCATGTAAGTGAACTGATACAATATGTAGCCTTTTGTGACTTGCTTCTTTCACTTAGCACAATGTTTTCATACATGTTGTAATATGGATAGATATTTCTTCAAGAACTATCTGTGGAGACTTGTAGGGACTTCATTATATGAATAAACTATATTTTGCTATCTAATTATTGGCTAATAACCTGGATTGCTTATACTTTTTGGCTATTAGGAATAATACCTCTATAGATACTCTTATACAAGGTTTTGTGTGAGCATGTTTTCATTTTTCTTGAGCATATTCCTAGGAGTGAAATTGCTGGTCATATGGTAACTCTATGCTTAGCATTTTGGGAAACTGCCAGAATACTTCCAAAGAAGCTGTATCAATTTATATTTCTACCTACTATGTACCTGGGTTCAATTTTTCCAACACTTGTTAGTGTCTCTGATTTTGATTATAGCCATCCTAGTGGGTGTGAAGTGGTGTTTGTAATTATTTAGTCATTGTGATTTTGATTTGCATTTCCCTAATGACTAGTTATGTTGAGTACATTTTAATGTGATCATTGATCAACTGTATCTCTTTTATAGAACTTTCTATTGAAATAATTTTCCCTCTTTAAAATTGGGTTATTTTTCTTTTTATGGTTAAGTAGTAATATGTATTCTGAATACAAACACCTTTTATATAAATGACTTGGAAGTGTCTTCTACCACTTTGTGAGTTGTCTTCAATTTCTTAATGGTGTCCTTTGCTGCACAAAAGTTTTTTTAATTTTGATGAATTTCAAATTAGCTATTTTTTTTTTTTGGTGCTGTATTTCAGTGTCATATCTATGAAACCATTGCCTAACTCAAGGTCACAAATATTTATTTCTATGTTTTCTTATAAGAATACTCTTTTTAGCTCTTACATTTAGGTCATTGATACATTTTGAGTTTATTTTCATGTATGGATAGGCATGCTCAACTTTATTTTTTTTGTTTGTGTAATAAAGTCAGTGAGGTACTGACATCATAATAGGTAGATAGATCAATGAAGTAAAATTAAGACCCCAGAATAAACTCATATTTATGGTCAATTGATTTCTGATGAGGTATCAAGAAAATTCAATGGGAAAAGAATAGTTTATTAACAAAGAGTGCTGGGACAACTGATATATTTTTTATTTCCTTGAGGATACATTAACATTTTAGGTAGGTAAACTCTGTAAGGGACAAATCTTAATATTATTATTTCTTAGGATATATATAGAAACGAGTTAATGTTAATGTAATAAATAAATGGGTAAAAGAAGGAGAATTAATACTCTGGGTGTAATTTTAACTAATAATAATGATCTAATTGGTACAATGGAAGCCATAAAATTTGAGGACAAAAGTTAGAGTTCAAAGGTGAGAATTGCAAAAACTATTGAAGTATATGCCTTAGTCCTTTGATCTGAGACATTAAGATGGATTATAAAATTTGGACTTCATAATAACCAGGGGATCTAGATGAGAGGAAAAAGAACACAATATTTAAAAGAACATGAACAGCCACAAAAGGGCTTGCTCATCAGCTCAGATTTTAAAATATCACATGCAGCAGACAGAAGGCAGCTTTTAAGAAAAATTCCAAGGAGTCTAATGTTAGAATGAAGTAGAGCTGGAAGACATGAGACAAGAATGAAGCTGAGGTGCATTCCCACAAAAAGTACAGAAAAATTATAAGGTAGTTTGTTTGCCTTTAGGAAAGAAAGCAGTGGGTCATTGAGTCATCATTTTTCTAAGAACAAAACAGTGGGCCATTGAGTTACCAGTTTTCTAACAACTGCCTAATATATAAAGAGGTGGGAGGATACTTTTGGAAGAGATAGAGATATTGGTAGAATAGATTGTGGTGATGGTTTGGTGAGTGTGTACTTATCTCCATGCAACTTATTTCAATAAGTTGTTCACATAAACATGTACAGCTTGTATGCCAATCATTAATGAGATATTGCTTGTGGTTCTCACACTATCAGAAATAAGGACTTTCACTGGAGACAAATACAATTAGGCAAATCCACTGACTTGGCACACAGTTCTTTATTCTTTCCTCAATAGTTCTGGGTAGCTGAATTAAATTTCTTAAGAATTGTTTCTCCTTGAAATGTTTTCCTTTATTTTTGGCCAGTGTTTAAACTACGGATACCCACCTGGGATGACTGGGGCTACCAGTTCTCTTTGTAGGAAAAAAGAGAACCAAGGTTCCACACCTACCAGTCATTTTTTCTCAATCCTAGCTTTATTTCCTCTTTAAAAGCATGGTCTTTCTCAAAGACTCCAGTCATTGTCATCAGCAGCCATTGTCAAAGCCATTCTAAAGGCCCAATCAGAGTTGATAAGAAGGGTAGAGACAAGAACTCAAGTTCTCTTACTTCTAATGCCATTTTCCAATAAGCCTAAAAATGCTCTAAAAAGGTAAAATCTATTAAAAGAGGAAAAGAAAACAAAGGATGCACAAAATGTTCATACAAGCTGAGTAAGCACTAGGAAGTGCTACCTGTCACAGTCTATTTATCACTAACATTTCCAGAAATAGGGTGAGAGGTGGTCTGGGCTGTGGGAGAATAGAGGTTTTCAGGAAGATGTGTAAGGACCAAGAGACTCTTTTTTCTTGCCTGACCATGTCAAGGAGCTACTCTGTCCTTTCCATCTTTCCCTCCCCTCACAAGGTCCTCCTTCCTCCACTTTCCAAAAAGTCACCAGTCAAAACTTATCATTATGTTTAGGTACTCACACTGATGCCTGGTGTAAAGTTTTTCTAAAGTTCATTATATACCCCAAGCACACCGGTACACAGAAGATGGTAGAGTGATTGCTGTCCCAGGAACCCTCATGGTCGAAGGGACAATCAGCTGGGCATTAGCCAAGAGGAACTTGCCACACAGGTGACCTCCGTGTGCACTGTTTTATTTTAGTCTAATTTGTATGACAGATAAAAGAACTTTCCGAGGCTTGGCTTCTAAGTTTTGCAATGGCATATCCTACATAAGTCGTTGCTGGGTGCCACTGGAGAAACTCCATGCTGGGATGTAGAGAATTGCATCAGGATGAGAGAGCCACAGGGACAAATACAAGAAAGGTAGGCTGCAACTTGTCCTTGGTGTTCCCTTAAGAAAACTAATAGAATTAGGGGGTCACACCCTGTCCCCACCCTGTGGTGAGAGACTAGTTGAAGGATGTCCAAAACCTGACTGGAGAAAAAAAAAAAAAACATAAACAGTTTAAATTGTGCAAAGTAGTGATATATGTTGGAAGAATTGTAAAGAATGCTGATCTTTTTCATTCCTGTTTCTTTGGAGAGAGGTTTAGTTAATGAATGAAATGACTTTTACATATCTCAAAAATTCTCAAGGATGTGTTATTTTCCTTAACAAAATATGAAGCATGTTTTGAAAAAAAAAAAAGCCAATGTTGTTCTATGATAAGGCAAATCTTATGAGTTTTACAGGTGAATTAATTTCTCTGTAATAGCTTTGAGAGAGAGAGAAAGAGAAGAGAGGGGGAACTGAGTGGGGTGGAATGACATGATAGGAAACGAGGAGATGAGAAGACAGAGATAAAGAGAAGAACCAGGGAGAAAGGGCAAGAGGGGAGATAATTTGTTCACTTGTTAGGTTTTGTATGAGATGCCAGAAGAAAAAGTAGTAACTGGTGAGAACACTGAGTGAACTGTCCTAATAGCCTTGGAGATGTAGTTCCCATTGAGTCAGTAGATAATAGAGGCGTAGAGACAATAGGTTGCAATACCTGCTATCTTCTCTCAGCTACATCGTGTTTTGCTCTTGGCTCTGACCCTAGAGCACTTAATCCATTTGCTGGGAGTGGACTGGGACACACTGAAAAGAATTCCTCTTGGGTTTTGTGTATTTCACTTAGAAACTATGACTCATAAGCTTTCACAGAGTTGTTGTTTAGGGGGAATCATGAACAGAGAAAGGAAATCAGGCCTTTCTAGCAGTCCCTTTATAAAAGCCTACTCTATGACCCGCTGTGGAACAGCTTCTAAAGAGAGGCTGTATCTAGTCTAAAAGACATAACCCAGACTTAGAGACAATTAACTTAAAATTTGAGTTAATGACCATAAATATATCTCTTTCCCCCTATCTTATTGGTTAATTTTCTGATTCATTGTCATTATTTGAAAAGCCACAGAATTTCTTGCTCAATATCTATCCTTACCAGTTTCCACAGGCTATACTAGTATATAAGACTCAGCTGTTCCCTGCTCTACATGATATTGAATTGACTTCATCAGAGCACAGATCTTAGCTGGGGACAGTCCTCATCGGCTTTCAGGTATGTGTGGGGAGGTGGACAGGCTGCTGTTGGTCGAGGTGCCTTTGGGGGCCAGTTGTGCTGGCATGAAGCACTCTGTGTTGCAGGTCTTTTTCTTGGGAGCTGTGATGTGATCCTCCAGATGCTCTCTAGCATCGTGACTGAGCAACTGAGCTGTCTGAGTCCTAGTTTTCTCATTTGTCACGTTGGGTTACTAATGCGTTCCTCCCTGACTTGTTGGAGGGACTGGATGAAATAATGAATGTGGAAGATACTGTTACATATTATGCCCACCATATATGTTTATTATATCTGGATGCTGGGCAAGATCCTACTATACTAGGTGTCATGAATGCAGGAATAATCCCAGGCTAGTAAGATTCATGCCAGGATAGGGTCCTCTGATTGCAAGCACACTGCTTTTTCTGCAATGTGTTCTTGACCACCTCCTAGCTATGCCCATCTTGGTCCCTGTGCCTCAGTCACACTGGGGTAGGCAGTTGACTTCCTTTCTAATCTTGAAGGCTTCAGTTTTGGATCTGAGAGAACTGAGGGCTTTTATGGAAAGGGTAATTGCTATCTTAAGGGCGATTGGAAGTTTTAAAACAAGTTTATTGTGCTTAGTCTTTATTATTGTTTTTTGTTATTTTAATGGCATTTTTTTATTTTCTTGGGTTTTATGCATTGTTACTCAGGCTTCTAAATTTGGAGGATAAAATGGTAAATATCAGGCTAACTGTCTCTTTTAGAAGATCAATAGATCAAAAGATCAATAGATCAAAAGTCTCTCTGAGGATATTTTCCCCACAAACATTTTGTTCCCACACTAATGTGATTTAAAACTAACTGAAAAAGAACCTAATAGTACCTCAAAAATACTGCCTTTATCATGCAGGAGAATTTTAATCACACTGTTTAGCTTCACCAGCTAGCAAAGAGTTTGCATCACACTCTAATATCCTGAATTTTCATTCCAGCAAGAAAATAGACTGGTTGCTAACAGGCTAAATGTTTGGCTCATAACTCAGGGTGAGTCGTAACATGCCTACGAGGGGTCATCTAATTCTGCACTTGATGAAACCCTATTTTTACAGCCTGTTGAGAGAAAAACCTTGAAGAGCACTGTCAGGTTAGCGACTTCCAGAATTCCTTGCAACTCTAGTGTAATTCTCTGAAGCTTTAAGTCTTTGATATTAGACTGACTTTTTTTTCCAGCCCCTCAGATGAGGTGATGAGAGTAAGTACGCAAAGTCCCAAATGGTGTTCAATACATAGTACGAGGTGCTCCATGAATTCTCATGCCCTCTTATGGTCTATCTGGTTCCTTTAATGTTTACCTACACTTAGTGGTGGATTTCATCATTACTGATTGAACAACCACACCACATGAGAGTTTTAGGCTTATAAGGCACAGCCATGCTTTGTCATATCCTTGTTGAATTACTTGACAGGCTAAACAGATGCAATCCTAGATTAAAGATATCCAAACAAGCTTTGGATCTGCTCAGGCACCCAGAGCCCAAGGCAATGTGAATATCACCAGCCAACAATGAGCAAACATGACAGACAGAAACCCAGGAAGCCAGGGGAAAATTTATCCTGTTCTAAATGTACACAGTATCCTTTCTGAAAGGTGGTGATGCATGGTAACTGTTCAAAGTAGTTATCGATCAAGTGGAATGTAGTGCTAATTGACTCAAGTGTTAAAATTTTCCCACCTCTTCTAAATCATAAGCAATGACCAGACTCAACCAAAAAATGATGGCTTTTAGAATTTCGTGGAGGCATTTAGAGAAAAAAACAACAACATCCCATAAGCATTTTTCAAATGAAAAAGTGAGATAAATTAACAGCACATTTATTTTCTATGTTTACTGCTAAGAATTGAAAGACCCCCTCTCATACTCATTTATTAATTTCTGCTGGTCAATATCTTACCTTATAAAAATGATATTACTTGTTTAATTTCTACACTAGCTGCATAAATAGCTTATATTATCCATATAATAGACTATATATGAACAAGTTATATGCTCCATAAAGGCAAAACTTTACAAAGTTTTCTTGGGAATTTCTCTATGTCTAACATAACCATATTTATGGGGATGAAGCTGAGATTATATGGCTGTCAGACAAGTTAGGAAAGGAAAAGGAGTAAAAAAAAGGAAGCAGGCCAGAGAGGATTCTCATTTTGTCCCTAAGTCATGTTGATTCCAATGTTTTTACTCTTCCAGTTACAACCTCTGTGCACTATTCACTCATCCCCATGCTTATCCTTATAAACAAATCAGGATCATAGTCTGTTAAGGCTAAAAGGAACATCAGAAGTTACTTGGCTCAGTTTTAAAATTTATTTTCTTTTCAGTTGTGAAATATATTTGTTCCATGACATTTTTATCAGATGCCTGATAAGAAAAAAAAAGAGGAAGGAAGGTAGAAAGGGAGAGGGAGGAGAAAGGAAGAAAGAACAAACAAAAAAGGAAGACTTGAGGGTATCTAGGGCTCTAAAAAATTCTTTTAGGAGATAAACAGGTGAGCAGGTCACAGCAAGAAAGCTAAATTAGGCAAACTTTCTGGAGGCATTGGACAGAGTTGATTAGTTTTCTAGCTCCTAGCAAAGTAGTTTTCTTCCAGAAATTCCCTCCCTCCTCTTCTCTGTCTCTCTTAATAACTTTAATTTTGTGATTGGTATTCAGCTATTCTAGTTGTTAATTTAAATACTAATTTGTTAAATTAAATACTAACCTCTACTCACATCCCAGGCTATTGAAATGGGCTTAAAGCTAATTTTAAAAAGTTTAAAATAATATAGAAATTCAAGTATAAGAGAACGCCCAAGACAATAGGCAAACAATCCTATGCTTCTCTATTTATCTAGCATGGGAAATTGGGTTGAAGGGTATGGCTCAATATTATTATGAGGGCTCTATAAAGAGACCCAATTAGAAAAAACAAAGAAGATATAAATATAGTAAGTTATTTAATTTAGTTGAAAGCATAGAGTGTATTTGTTTAAAACATATATATGCCATACATTGCTTCCCCCTCCTCCCACCCCTCTGGCCTTTAATCAATCAATAATAATTTGATTCTGACTTCCAAAATGGCAGTTGGGAAAGTGCCACTGTGGGAGGGGCCAAGTTCATATATTTCCATTCCTGACAGGGTACAGATTGAAACTTACCTGGCCAGCTGTTAGCAGCAACTCTGAAGGCAAGAGGTAAATGCTAGTGTTGCCTAGTATTATTTTTAACAATAAACCATTGCATAGGAAAATTGTTTTAAGTAATAGAAACCCAGAGTAGATTGGATTGAAACTAAAAGATGTGCTGTTTTTAGTTAGGCAACTGTCTTTTAAAAATGAGTAATTTGTTTTATGATGTTTTGAAGTTATGGTAAATGTGGCAATACGTATTAGGAAACATTAGCCATCATCTGTCAACTCCCTCAGTCCCCCAGCACCTGGTCACATGTCAGATATGTCTGGTTGATTTCTTAAAAATGAGGATGTTTGAATAATTTAAAAAAATCTTTACGTACTTGGCAGATTGTATACTTGTTTACACTAATTTCTGAAATATAAAATGGCATAATATTTAGAATATCTGTATTTTAGATAATATGAATTTATATTTCTCTTTGGCAATCTGAGATGGAAATGCTTTGATTAAATCTTTCACAAGTATTTCTTTGTTATTAGATATTGCTTATCCTTCAGTTAGTTATAATTAGGTTTGAAAATTATTTCCAGCAGAATTGTGTCTATCTCTGTAAAGTTGAAATTTTATTCTGAGCTTATTAATAGCTTTGTAAAAATGGTGGAAATTCTTAGACATGAAATATTTTTGGGATATGAAATTCACACTTAGAATAGTTTGGGTTGTTAGAAAATCTACCTAGTCTAATCTTTTATATTGTTACAATAAAGGAAATCATATTTTAGTAACTAAACTGTTTCTAATAGAGTAGAAAATCAATCTAAATTTGATCTCACTATGAATATTTCTATTAATCACAGTTACCTGCAAAATGTATAGAGTCAATGTGAAATATGAATTATCACCTACTGTTTCAAATATTAGAATTCTTTATACTGTAAAAGGGGCAGATGATAGTAAATGAATCCAAAAATTTTAAGTGTTCTTATGCACCACTGTTTATTCTTTACTAATGGGATGTAAAGATGAATAAAAATCATGAAACTTTTCCTCAAAAGAATTATGGTTTGGAAGGAAAGACAGAAATATAAAAAACAATCACCTTATAGACAGAATCATAAGAGAAATAGAAATATGAACATTTGTCTTTCATATATAGACAAATGAACATATATATGAATATAGATACTATGATTGCAAGATGAGAAATCACATGGAAAAATGAAGGCAATGGACTTGTCAATATGGTGAGAGCAAAATTCAAATTTATCGTTCAGGTGGCTGACCTCATTACTGATATTTTGCCACCTGTACAATAAATTTGCATTTGAGAATCAAAATCCTTCTTGTACCTTACTAGAGTTTAAATAATAAATCACTTGGGAAGCAGTACCAGCAAAAATATAACATTTTTCTTAATATTAATGTGATTTTTCACTTTTTTTCTGAATGAAATTGTTCCTTAACGTCTTTCTGTATAGTGTGGTAGGTAAGAGGTGGCATTGGGAACTGTGAATGCTTTATCTGCTCCAGATGGCAGCATGCTGTAAGAGGAGGAAGAGTGTCTTGGCAGTCAGACTGAATGGACTGATTTGCACACCAGCTACCCCACGTCATAGTGGGATATAAAATAAAGATAGTTACTGACTCATGGAATTGTTCAAGAATTAGAGATAATATGTGTGAAATGCCAGGCACATTGTAGGCTCAAATTAAATGGTAGCTATTATTATAAAGGTATTTATAATTGGGGTTTTATTGATTCCTTGAGTTGAATAGATTTTTGAGGGACTTTACTGTTTTGAAATCTGTTGGAAAATAATGATTACTGGAGTCCATTGTATACATGTTTTTCAGGCTGTAGCTTATTAAGAGACAGCCTCCCTCAATAATCAGAATTTAGACTTAGCCAAGAGTGACTTCTTTATTTGGAGGATATTTTCCAGTGTACATTAAAGACACATGTGGCACATTTTCTAAAAAAGGTACATACTGTTATTTTCTTTGAATTAAGTTTAATAGACTAAAAATCAATTAAAGTGGGAAAATGTTGAAACTACTGTACTAGTATACTGTTGAATCTAAAGCAATAACTGTTTTTCTTCTTGAGAGAGTGAGAGAAGAAGGGAGAAAGAGAGAAAAGAAGACACACACACACACACACACAGAAAGAGAGAGAGAGAGAGAGAGAGAGAGAGAGAGAGAGAGAGAGAGAGAGAGAGAGAGAGAGAGAGAGAGAATTGTTGTTCCACTTATTTATGCATTCATTAGTTACTTCTTGTATGTGCCCTGACCGGGGATTGAACCTACAACCCTGGTGTATCGAGACAATGCTGTAACTAATTGAGCTACCTGACCAGGGCCAATGCAATAACTATTTTTTAATGCTTGTTATATATCATATGTCTGATGATAAAAACTAAAATAAAGGGTCTTTCATTTCCATCTTGGAAATATACAATATCCATAGGCAAAAGACAAAAGACATTTTATTTGAGGGGGATAAGTCCAAAGTGAGATCTACTACCCTGTTTCCCCCAAAATAAGACAGTGTCTTATATTAATTTTTGCTCCCAAAGATGCACTAGATCTTATTTTCAGGGGATGTCTTATTTTTCCATGCGCTAGGTCTTATTTTTGGAGGATGTCTTATTTTCGAGGAAACACGGTAGTATGTAAAGTTGTCTTGATTCTTATGAAATAGATTACTGGGGTAGGGCTGGATCAAGGGCTATCCAAAGGGAAGTCATTCCCTTACTTTGGTTCCATTACTTATGGTTCTACATTATCAAGAGAAACCAAATGACTTCTAAACCCTCAGCATCTTTCAACCCTCTGTTATCTCTTGGACAATATCAAGGACTGATTAAAGTGCTTCAAGTCCTATAGGTTTCATATATAATGAATCAAAATGAGGTGAGAGTGTTAACAAAGGACATGACCCATGACAATTTTGGGGGCATATATTCTGCCATAGAAAATTCAGGGACAGTTCAGACAAATGTCTTAAGCAGAACCAAGAGAAGGGGGTGGATTGAAGCTTTCTTGGTTGCTAATTTGACCATGGGGACATAGTAGCCTTTGACTTGATTTTACCTGAATAAAGGAAGTTCCACTATGAATTGGGTAGAATTTTGCCCTCCAAAAGATGTGTTTAAGTCCCAATCCTCAGTAATAGTGAATGTGATCTTATTTGGAAATAGGGTCTTAGCAGATGTGGTCAATTTAAGATTAAGTCAAACTACTGGGTTGAGGTGGGCCTTAATCCAATGACTTATAGGAAAAGGGGTATTTGGGTGTACACACAGAAGACACAGGGAAAGACATTTGTGAAGATAGAGGCAGATATGATGGCTCTACAAACCAAGGCATGCCAAGGATTTCTAGAAACCACCAGCAGCTTAGGGAGAGGCATGAAGCAGATTTTCTCTGAGAGCCTCTAGAATGAACCAATCCTGCCAGCACCTTGATTACGGACATCTGTCCTCCAGAACTGAGGAAGAACAAGTTCCTGTTGTTTAAGCCACCTGATTTGTGGTATTTTGTTATGGCAGCCTTAGCAAAAGAATCCACATCACTGAATAAAAATAGATGTCTATCTGTATTATTATAAATATTAACATCACTATCTATAGACCAGAGGATGGTGACTTTATCTTCCAGTTTTTATTTATTTATTTATTTATTTATTTATTTATTTATTTATTTATTTTTAAAAATATATTTTATTGATTTTTTACAGAGAGGAAGGGAGAGAGATAGAGAGCTAGAAACATCGACGAGAGAAACATCTACCAGTTGCCTCTTGCACACCCCCTACCGGGGATGTGCCCGCAACCAATGTATAATACATGCCCTTGACCGGAATTGAACCCGGGACCTTTCAGTCCGCAGGCTGATGTTCAATCCACTGAGCCAAACCAGTTTTGGCTATCTTCCAGTTTTTAATAGCTTACTGAATAACTGTATATGATTATGTCTTCAGTATTTAACATGAGAACTGTCTACTTATTTTTCTCTGTTAAATATTTTCTCTCTCTTGTAATTTATTTTTGTTTGTTTTAGGCTGTCATCAGTTTCACGATGGATTCTCTCATTGCAGCAAACTCCAAATTTTGCTTTGATCTTTTTCAAGAGATAAGCAAAAATGATGGTGCTAAGAACATTTTCTTCTGTCCTCTGAGCCTCTCAGCCGCCCTTGGCATGGTCCGTCTGGGGGCCAGAAGTGATAGTGCACATCAGATCGACCGGGTACGGATGCGGTAACTCTGGGTCCACTCTCAATGCCAGACATTAATCCCATTTTGGCAAATCAAGCTGCTCATTGAACTCTGGGCTTGCTCAGGGTCTTCATTTATATCCTTGCCTTGCTTTCTCTTCTCTTCTCCTTTATTCTTGGAGACTAAATGAATCTTCACTCTCTATGGTATCTCTCCAACCTTCCCAGTCTGACAGCTTTTCTGATTCATCTTCTCCATGTCTATCTGTCTGCATGTCTGATGCTCTTTCTCTCTGTAATTACTGATACCAATATTGCTAGTAATTTTTAATGTGTATGTGTTTTCTCTTTCATTCATTTTATTAAGTAAATATTTAGTAGGCACCAGTTTCATGTCCAGTGCCAAACATCCCGGAGTCCTTCTTGACTCTCTCTCTTTCTCATTCACATCAAATTTGTCAGAAAAGACAAGCTTCTCTTTGGAGATCTACCCAGAACCAGGTACCTCCCACCACCTCCCTGAGGTCTCTTCTAACCTGGTTACAATTTCCTCAGGAATTTCTCGCTTCCACTGACAGTGTTCTCCACTCAGCTTCCAGAAAGGTATTTTGAACACCCAAGTCAGACCTGATTTCTTATCTGCTTAACCCTCCCACCCCCCTTTTTAATTTCACTAATGATAGAAGCCAGAGTCCTTACAATGGCCCGTGAAGGTCTGGGGATGTCAATTCCAGGTAACTGGTGATACCATTTCTCCCCATGCCCCCTTTTTCTCTCTCCAGCCATGCTGGCCTTCTGACTTCTTGGAAAGCCCAACCCTCTGCTGCCTAGGGCCTGATGCATTCGCTTTGTTTGACACAGATAACTTATCTATAACCTTTCTCCTTCAGGACTTTGAGCAGTGTTTACCTATTTTGATCTCTCAATCTAACATTGCATCCTGGCCCCAATCCCTAAAGATTCCCTCTTATGGCTTTGCCATCCCTGCATGACATTTTCATTTCTAACATATTGCATACAGTAACTACTCACTACATATTGCTTTAAAAAATATATTTTTATTGATTTCAGAGAGGAAGAGAGAGGGAGAAAGAGATAGAAACATCAATGATGAGAATCATTGATTGGCTGCCTCCTGCATGCCCCTATTGGGAATCGAGCCCCCAACCCAAGCATGTGCCCTTGACCGGAATCCCAAACCCGGGATCCTCCAGTCTGCAGGCTGACGCTCTATCCACTGAGCCAAACTTGCTAGGACTGCATTGGTTTTGGAATGTCTTCCTCACTACAACATAATGTCATAGGGAGAGCCAGAACCTAGAACAACGCTTGGCTTATGGTAGCCACCCAATACTGATATGTAGAATGAATGAATGAAAGTGGCAAGAACAACTTCTTAGGTAGCTGCCCCACCTTCTCGCCCCCGCGGACCCGAGACCAGCGACCTCTACCGACCATTCTGCCTGGCACTCAAGTGAACCAAGTCAGCTTCCTCCAGGTCACTGCTATGAAGAAAGTGGTTTAACAGCTCTGGCTGGAGGCCGGGCTCACCCGCGAGAAGGTTTCCCAGGCAGCTGTAGATTGGAGACAATTCTGTCTGCAGAATGCTCAACATGACCCTCTGCTGACTGGAGTATCTTCAAGTACCAATCCCTTCAGATTCCAGAAAGTTTGTTCCTTTTTGTAGTAAAATGAAATTTGAAAGTGTTCTAAACCACTTTTCTTGAACCAGTGAATATCCAAAGAGAGCTAAATCTGAAGCCTATACAAAGCTTAGCCTATAACATGTGCCAAACCATACAAACTTCTGCTTTTGTCAGCCCTTAACACCTCTCTCTCTGAATTTTCATGAATTTCTACTTCATAAGAATGATTATTTTATATACACTGGCAGCAGCATACAAATAAAATACTTAGTATAAAAAGTAAAAAACAAAACAAAACAAAAAACAACAACTCCCCAAATAAACAATAGGCTCCTGAGGTTGGTCTTACACTTCCCTGGATCTGAACCCCACTGCGGTCCCTAATACACAGGAGTGAATTCTTAGATTAAGGCAGAATGCATTTAGGGTCACTCTATTTTATTCACTTTCTTTGATTTGGTATTGTTTCTTTAGCAAAACTTAACCTTAGAGTGTGGTTGGCATCATCCAGCTCAGGTTTCTGGTGTTTTTTCTCCAGGCACTTGGGTGTCACCTGTCATCAAACCTGGCCTACTAACTGTCTGTGATGTTCTGGACAACATGTCTTCTCCTGTCCTCCCTCACTTGATTGATTTGAAACTGTAGATCAGCACCATCTAACTCAGATAGAATTTGAACCATATACTATGTAATTTAAAAATCTTTAGTATCCATACTAAAAAAGTAAAAGGAAACAGGTGAGACTAATCTTAATACTACATTTTATTTAACCCAATACATTCAAAATATTATATCAATATGTAATCAATTAAATATTTAAATGAGATATTTTACCTTCATATTTTTTTCATACCAAGTCTTCAAAATCCATTGTGTATTTTCAAAGTTAATTCAGATTAGTCAATAGCCACAGGTGACAGTCTCAGGAATACCTGATACTCTTAATTTAGTCACGTTCATTCCTACATGTCCTAAGGGGGTGTGGGCAGCATTCAGTTGACCTCCCCTTTATCCCACCTCACATCCCAAATCAAAAGAAATGTTCACATTTCTTTAAATTGTTGTTGGTTGTTTTGTTGGACTATGTAATTATTGGCATAGTCACATCATTAAAATGTTTCTGAAGCTTTTCAGACTTTGAGCTGTTCCTCTTATCTAAAAGGCCCCATGCCATCATCACGCAGGTACTCCACTTTGATGAACTTTCCCAGGAGAAAACCAAAGCACCGGATCCCTGTCTGAAATACAAGGAGCAGGAGTCACAGGCTGACAGCCCTCCGGAAGGGCAGAAAGGAGCGACCAAAACTCCAACTCCACAGGTGAGCCACCTGTAAACTCTTGCTCCTCATCTTTACAAACAATTCATGCTGGCAGTCCGGTGGTGCTGATGGTTGCTTATCCTCACACATGAGGTTCTGGCCATCATCCACAGCTCCAATAACAGTAATAACTCCACCTGACCCACAATTCCTGTCTGTTTATGTGTCTTAAACATTCTTGGCTCTAAGCCACTTTCCTAAAGAGTAGAATCTGGTATCGTCTGTTCAAAGCCATTCTACTCACCTACTTTTACAGACCACAGCTCCCCAGGATGGAGCCTGGAGTAAGGGGAGGAGGGATGAGCTGTGGGATTTTACTCTTCCCCTCTCCCTTTTGTCTGTTTTATTTCCAGCTAAAATCTGTACTAACACACACAATTTTTATTGGTTGTCCCATAATCAGGAGCAAGGATTACATATCCCTCCACCTTAAAAAGATTAAGAGGCGGGTGCAAAGAAGATTGTCTCCAGATATATTTTTCATGGATAATTTTCCACGGGGACCTTTCTGCTCTTCTCCTTCCTCTCTTCATCTCAAATTGCTCCCTTACATGCTAACAAAGCCAATTTGTTTTGAACTGGCTAAGACCACATTTTGTTTCTTTTGTTAGGTGGAGTCTTCAAAGGATGGGAATGAACTTCTCAGTTGCTACTTTGGGCAGCTTCTCTCCAAACTAGATAGAATCAAATCTGATTACACCCTGAGTATTGCTAACAGGCTTTATGGAGAGCAGGAATTTCCAATCTGTCCGGTGAGTTGGGCAAGAACGGTGTTTAGAGCTATCATGGAACATACTGTTTACAAATCAACCGCCATCTGGAACACAGACCTCGTTGACAGGTTGTGCACTGTGGACTGGTTGGATGTCAAGGGCCCACTTCCTCTCCTATGGCGTCTGTGGCCCTCTTCCCAGTTTTCAACTTGAGCAGTTTATGAGGCTTCTTGTGAGTGGGCTAGAGTGGATGGAAAGAGGGTTATAGGACTAAAAGCCTTCAGAGCATGTGCGAGTTTGATAATGCTGTTTTCTCTTGTGACCTCTTTCCCAATCAAGGTGCCTGGTAGCTTCTCTTTCTATTGTTCCTCCTACCCCTGCCTTCCAAGGCACTTCCCTAAAATCACCTTTGGTGCCACCATCAAGCTACCCTGCTTCCCCTCCGACCCCCTGCCCCGAGAAATTGTGCTCACTTAAGGAGCAGAGTAGGGTAGCAGAAGGAGACTGTATTTGGCACCTGTCTTATCTCTGTGGCTACACTGCATTGTCCCTAGAGCTTCAGTTTCCTCTGTCACCACTAGAAGGAGCCATATACATGGCACTAGACATGAGGGGAGTGACCAAAGGCAAATGTGCCACACAACCTAAGGTTGTCCTAGAAAGGGAGAGGCAGCCTAAAATAAGTAGTTTTCTCACAATTGAAATGAGAGAAAACTCTATAATACATGCTCTTTCATTAAAAATCTGGCTTTATTGAGACATAAATTCATATATCATACAATTACTAATAAAAATGTACAAATTGATGATTTTGGTATATTACATTATAAAATTTAAAAATTGTATATCTGTAACAAAAATTTCCACTTTAATAATTTTAAATATACAATTCAATGGCATTAATTATATTCACAATGTTGCATAATCATCATCCTATTTCTAAAACTTTTTGTTATCATTTTAAACAGAAACTCTGTAACAATTTAGCAGTTTAATTTTTTTTGAATTAGAAGCATTTTACAGCTAAGTTGCTCAAGATAGTTGATATTTATCTTGTGATGTCTTCACAAATGGAATGTTCAAATACAAGGCTATTTGGTAGAAAGCCTTGTGCCATTATAACTGTGGACTGCCCCATAACCAAGCATTCTAGGTGAAACTGTCACTGCAATGAAACTGCCACTGCAGCAGCTGAAATGTCTGGCTTATCAAGACTGGGGGTAGACAGAGACTGACACACATCCAGTTTGAGTGACAAGGCCCACGACTGCTTCACTCCTTACTATTAGCATAATGATGTGATTTCCATTTGTTCTAATTTAACAGGCCTACCTAGATGGTGTGACTCAATTTTATCACACAACGATTGAAAGTATAGACTTCCGGAAAGACACTGAAAAGTCTAGACAAAAGATTAACTTCTGGGTTGAATCTCAATCCCAAGGTAAGAAAAACCAAACTTGTTTTAGCTGGTATCCCTTCCCATTTAAAAGCCAACAGTTCAGCCCAGCTTTTCACATTGCTCATCTGCCAGGGACCAGATGCTTACAGGTGTGGCCTGGGCCCAATGCTGCTTTCACGTGTGTCAAACAGTTAAAATGCGCAGGTGCTATCGTGACTGTCCCTTCTCTCCTCTGTCATAAAGGTGATGTGCCTTTTAGCTAAGCACAGGGTCAGCAGGACATTAACTTTTTCCATTTCTTTTAAAAGGTCAGTAAAAAGATTGGGAAGAGAATCTAGTTATTCATAAGGACATGGAAATAATAAAACCCTTTTTCTTATCAACTCTTCACTAGAAACAAGTATTCTGAGTGAAAGGGGATTTTCGGATAGTGATGAGTGGTGAACATTTGAGTTCAACATAGATGGCATTATTTTTTTTAAATTATATTTTATTAATTTTATACAGAGAGGAAGGGAGAGAGATAGAAACATCTATGAGAGAGTCATCGATCAGCTGCCTCTTGCACACCCCCTACTGGGGATATGCCCGCAACCAAGGTACATGCCCTTGACCGGAATCAAACCCGGGACCCTTCAGTCCCCAAGCCGACGCTGTATCCATTGAGCCAAACCGGTCCCGGCAGATGGCATTATTTTTTAATATGAAATTCCCTTTTTAACTTCATCAGCTCCTGGTAAAATGGAAATTTCTAAATGGACTGTATAAACATGGGGCTTTCAAAGCAGCGCCCCCACAACCCCCCCTCCCCTCCCCCCATCAAATTTAAATACAACCGGCCTCCCTGCCTTGCTTGCTGGCAGCCCAGTCATCAAACCATAATCCTCAGCCATGACCCCTCTGAGCATTGATCTCCATCTACCCTCTACTCTTTACTGTCTTCCTCCTAATGTTTACTTCAATGTAAGCCATTTCTATGGCTGTTCCAAAAGACATAAACTGTACTACTTTGGAATAGTATCAGCCATTGTGTATTGTGCATCTCTCACTCTTATGCTTAACTTGGCAGAGTACAGGGTTCTTCACTGCTGTGATGTTTGCATTAAAGCAAAACAGAAACTGCACAAAACTGGGGCTGATAATAGTTCAATTGCTCAAATGACCTTGGTGTTGATGACCTTTCTAGTACTCAGTAGCCACATTTGTAAAATAATGGAGTAGGAATGAGAAGATGTCTTATCTCCATAAAATTTCATAATTTGTATTTTCTTTAGTAAATGGAACCCACAATTTCACACTCTAAATAGTTTCTCCTCATAGGTTCAGTTTCTTATTTCAATATTTATAATGTTGTAAATGCTTTCATTATAATTTAGTGTTTTCTTTGATACTGTTGATCACTCTAATTTTTTAAACCACACCAGTGTTTTTAGCACTAAATGTTCATTTGCCCATAGAATCAAAACTCATCTTCCCTCTAAAATATCCACTGATACTGGAGTTTGTCTGTCATATTAGGAATATTTGGGACCCCATTACAATACCTAGTTTACAACAAAATAATTTAAAAACTATCCTTTAATTGAGCTGTAAGGAGCTTCAAATCTGCAATAGCATTTTATTGTGTTATATTTATTTATAATTAATATACAAAGTAACATTGCCTTAATAAGAACCCTCCCAAGTGTAGAAATTTTTAGAATTCATTTACATGATGAACTAAGAACAAAAGAAAGCTAGAGAAGGTTTAAGGCAGAGAGTGTGTCTTTTATTTTTTTTAAATGTTTTTATTTATTTTAGAGAGAGGAAGGGAAAGGGAGAGAGAGAAACATCAATGTGAGAGAGAAACATCAATTGATTGTCTCCTGCATGCCCCATACTGGGGATTGAACCCAAAACCTGGGCATGTGCCCTGACTGGGAATCAAACTGATTCCCAAGAATAGAAGGATGTTCAACCAACTGAGCCATACGAGTCAGGGCAGGGAATGTATCTTTTAAAAGACATCTAATTATAGGCTGGAGAACAGTTCAGAAGTAGACAAGGGTAGAGATGGTGAGAGGTGGATGAATTTGAGAGATATTAAGATATAGGTCAGCCGAAACCAATTTGGCTCAGTGGCTTGAGTGTCAGCCTGTGAAGTGAGGGGTCCTGGGTTCGATTCCAGTCAAGGGCATGTACCTTGGTTGCGAGCACATCCCCCCAGTGGGGGGTGTGCAGGAGGCAGCTGATCAATGATTCTCTCTCATTGATGTTTCTAACTCTCTATCCCTCTCTCTTCCTCTCTGTAAACAATCAATAAAATATATTTATTTATTATTTTTTTCAATAAAATATATTTAAAGAAAGATATAGATCAGAAAAATTTTACCAAACACTTGGATAAATGATGGATTGTTTAATTAGAGTTAGAGTCATCAGGAATGACTCTTACTTAACACTAACATGAAATCTTAATTTCTCAAAATGAAAAGCAGAGGCTATGAGCACAAATAAAGAAATCACCTTTCTGACATGCCATTCATGTCACCTTATAACAGATGTCATATATTTTAATTTACTTTTTCAAGTAAAGATTTTCCTACCTGGGAATATGCCCTATCCTCTTCCTGTCTCCAGTCTTCCTCACATTGGCTTAGGGCTGGGGTGCTCCTGCCTTTCCTTTAGGGGAATAACCAAACTCCGAAATTATTTCTCTTTACTTCTTTCACATGCCATAAAAAATTTCCCATGCCTTTAAATTTTCATTTAGTTGCCAAGAGGAAAAACTTTAGATTAAGGTATAAATGTCTAGTTTCTCTTTAGTTACTTAACTCTCCCAGAGTATTTTCTTTTTTTAATATATTTTATTGATTTTTTTACAGAGAGGAAGAGAGAGGGATAGAGAGCTAGAAATGTCAATGAGAGAGAAACATCGACCAGCTGCCTCTTGCACACCCCCTACTGGGGATGTGCCCGCAACCAATGTACATGCCCTTGATCAGAATCGAACCTGTGACCTTTCAGTCTGCAGACCGACGCTCTATCACTGAGCCAAACCGGTTTCAGCTCTCCCAGAGTATTTTAAATATATATATGGTGACAAAAATAATGTATTATTATGATATTTAAGTGGAAATCTTAAGGTGCTCAAGCCTAGGCATGCATTCCTGTAATGAATGATACTGTTGAGTTGCTATTTTGAGGTAGAAAAGGATGTGTACTGAAAATGAACTATTGCCTAATAGCCTGGGCTTTTCCGGTCTGCCTTAGGGCTGTGCTTTTCTGGAAGGAGGCCCCGCACTGAACCAAGCATTGGAAGGACCTAGGGATTGATCTCAGTCAGCTTCCCTGCTTTTGGGCTGTGTGGCCTCAGTCCTCATGAGCTATAGTTTATTATCCTAAAGAGAAGTGATAACAATATCTACTTCTCAAGGGTGATGTAGGATGGAATGAGGGAGGGCATGTGAAAGTCTCTAAAAGATAGGTTTTATATCATTGATGTGTACATTTATGTGCATTTTTGTTTATGCATAAGCATATGTATACTGCTGTGATGAGTGCTTGAGACAGGAAGTTTATGCAAGAGCCCTTCTTTCTCAAGGATGTGATAATATAATCAGGCAGCAGAATCTCTACTCTGAAGGAGAAATCAGGGTGTAAGATGTCTGGTGCCAAGTTCCCACTACAGTGAGAACCAGAAAATCGCCCTCAGTTACAGGGCTCTGAATTAGATGCTCCTCCCACCGCTCCCAACCTTACCTCTACTCCTTCCCCACCCAGGACTCTGAGTGCTTTAATTTTCTTGGATTAGTTCTTGAATGAGACACTCTCCAGCCCTGGGCATGTTCAGCTGCATTAAGAAACAAATCTGTCTATGAATATTTTTGATACAATTCATATTTAAGATATGAATTGTATCAAAAGTATTTTATTTATTTATTTATTTATTTATTCATTTATTTATTTATTTATTTATTTAGGTAAAATCAAGGAACTCTTCAGCAAGAATACCATTAACAATGGGACTGTCCTGGTGCTGGTGAATGCTGTTTACTTCAAGGCCAAATGGGAAAAATACTTTGAAGTTGGAAACACGGTTGATGCACCTTTCTCTTTAAGCGAGGTACTACATTAGAGCATGTGTGTGGTTTCTAATGATTCCACTCACAGTTTCCACTAAGAATGGTTTGTAGTATGTATCAATATACTCAAATCTAAAGCTTAGACCCTGGGTTATAGCTTGCATTTATAATAAGAACACATTTGCTGTTAACAAAAATCAGTATCTGTAGTTAATTGAGCTTCCTTCCTCCCTTCCTTCCTTCCTTCCTTCCTTCCTTCCTTCCTTCCTTCCTTCCTTCCTTCCTTCCTTCCTTCCTTCCCTCCCTTTCTCTGTCTCTGTCTCTGTCTCTCCCTATCTTTAGTGTCAGACTGAGCATTTTCCATTTGTTATTTCATTTGTTTCCTAAAATAACCTTATGAAAATAGGTGATATTATTATTATTCCCACTAAGGAGCTGAGGGGAAAAAATCACAAAGGTTAAGTTACATAGCCAAATCTATGCATTAGGATTCACATCTGTGTTTGCCTGAAAAACCCATGTTCTAAACCACTAAGCTGTAGAATAGGAGGAAAGGGAAAAGTCAGATCCAGTTGGCTGGATCACTGTCAAGGGCTTCATGTCCTCATCTGTAGATTGCTAATTCTTCCACCCCATACTGTGAGCTTATCTGAAGTTTGAGGTGTCTGGGGCTGTGCCGTTGCCTCTGATGGAAGTACATGGAACAGCTATTGTTATTTACTATGTAGGTGACTATCATTTAACTAAGGTTCCCACTGGCCCTGCAGTGGGGTCATTCAGTCCAGCTCAGACAGGGGGTCCAGTGAGGCCATGAGGCTGGGGTAGCTGAGATATAAAAGTTAGAGAGAGCTGCAGGGATTGTTTCTGCTGGCTGAGCTATGAGTAGGTGCCTGAATAGACAAGCTACCAATAACTAGTTTTAGGAGTTGAATAATCCATTAAAACCACAGGAGGAAAACGTGTTGGCAAAGTAAGGGCCTGTGGGCAGATGACTCTTAGGTTGGGTCACTGGTATGGCTCAGTACTTCTGGGGAAGACCCTGCTCAACTTAATGGCCCCCTGTTTTTAGAGAAGTTGGGGACCATGTGAGTTTGTAAGCTTATCATGGCAGTCCTGACCTTCTACCTTGTTCATTCACTGCAGAATGAGAAGAAGACTGTGAAGATGATGAATCAAAAGGGTATGTTTAAAATGGGCTTCATAGAGGAGATGAATGCACAGATCCTTGAAATGCCGTATACCAAGGACAAGCTCAGCATGTTTGTCCTCCTGCCATCTCCCTCTGCAGATAACCTGAAGGGCCTACAGGAGGTAAAGCTTCATTTTCCTGTCTCTCCAAAATGTTTCATTATAGATCTTTGGAGAGCAGCACCATCTACCATTTACATCCTGAGGCAGGGTGATATCTGAGCTGTTTGAATCTGAATTTGCTGAACTGTTTATTCCTCACCTGTTTAGAAAAGAACAAATGCCAAACATGTAGGCTAGGGTTTTCCTCTCTAATCCCATTTTGCTCTCTGGAATCGTATTTTTCCAGCTCGCCAAATCTGGATGGGGAGTAACTTGAGAATTGCTACAGATAAGATAGCGTTTTCTTTTCCCTGAACATCCTGACTGCTGGCCTCTCACTCAGACTATTTTGCTATAGCTGAATCCTGCTTCGGGATGCCTGTGCTTGGACAGCAGTGGGGATGCTGATACTGGAATAGATAGTGTGTGAGGTGGGAATTAATAAAAGCCTGGGAGCTCAACTACACATCCTGTAGGGTAAAGAGATACAGAGGAAGAGAGAAACAGAGAGAAACACTGGATAGTAATTATAATAATGACCATTATTCAAAATGTATTATGTGTCTGCACTATGTTAAGTATTTTAAATACATTATTTTGTTTAATCCTTGAGGAGCCTAATGGTATTATCTCTGTTTTATAGAAGAGATTGAACTTCCAATGTCAAGACTTGGTCATGCTCACCCAACTTAATCAACTGAGTTTTGAGTACTTGTCTGTTAGACTGTAAAAAAAAAACCCACTGGAACTCAAGTTGTTTTGTAATTTCTTGTCCCAAGTAGATCCCGGGAAAGGATCTGGGATGTTTATCTAAGGTGTCTCTTGAGATAAACTTTAACCATGCAGGTATGGGACATTCAAGTAGTTGCTAGCAAAGAGGCTACTCTATGCAAGCAAGACCAAGGGGCAGGCTTATGACCAAAAAAAGACCAGAAGCTTTACCTTAAATTTTAAGTGTATGCAAAATAATTCAATTGACTACCAGAGGAATTACACCACATAAAATTTATGCAGTTGCAAATCACACAGCTCTTTATTACTCACACAATTCCTGGTGCTATGGGTACAGGCTTAAATGGGATCCCAGTGCTGCTGTCTCCTCTGGGGTGCAGCAGCTGGGCTGGTCTTGTCCGGATGAGGGGGCCAGTGTTCCTCACCCGAGATCTCAGTCATGACTCAATCAGGAGTTACTAGCCGTTTTTCTGTCAGCTGGTAGGAAGAGGAGCATGGAGTGGAATCACTTGCCAGACTGACAAAAGGACGTGCCTTTGTGGCTGTCTTGACAGGCGAGCACTGGGCTGGTCAGGATCCCCATTTTTAAAGTCTGCACCCCATTTATAGCAGTTCAGATGGCTATCAATGAACTGCGTCAATGCACACATTATCTCAAACAGAGCGAGGGGTTACATGTGATTATCTATGGAGAGTACATCACTTACTTAAGAGGTTATCTTGACAAGTCACTTTGAGTTATTTACTAAAGTTCAAATTCTTTCTACGAGGTACACTTGCTTCAGGGCAGTGAGGAATGTGTTCTTACAATCACTCTTTAAGTTTCAAGTAAAGTTAATTTAAACATTTTAAAACCTTCTTAATATTTTTAAGGCATTTAAAAAGCATTTTTAAACATTTCTATATTACTATGACAGGTCTAAAGAGAAAAAAGATTTGCTTGGAGGAGTTTTAAATGAAATCAGAGTAGTTTGAGGTATAGGAAAAGAATTTAAAGATTGTTACTATCCTTGAACTCAGGCCCTGAGAAGTAATTGGGGTATTCTTTGCAGGCTCATAATCTGACCCTTAATATTTTTCTTTTTCATTTTGCAGCTTGAAAGAAACATCACTTATGAAAAAATAGTGGCCTGGAGCAGTCCAGAATATATGTCAGAAAAAAGAGTAGCTGTCTCCTTTCCCCAATTCACCCTGGAAGACAGCTATGATCTCAACTCTATTCTCCAAGACATGGGCATCACAGATGTCTTCGATGAAAAGAAGGCTGATCTTACTGGAATCTCTCCACATCCCAGTTTGTATTTGTCGAAAGTTGTCCATAAAACCTTTGTGGAGGTGGATGAAGATGGCACCCAGGCAGTTGGAGCCAGTGGGGCTGTGGGCAGTGTAATGTCTGCACCATCCTGGGAGACCTTTAATGCCGATCACCCTTTTCTCTTTTTCATCAGACACAACAAAAACCAGACCATTTTCTTCTATGGCAGGGTGTGCTCTCCCTGAAAAGGGCACAGTGTCTAGTACATGGGAGCTGGACGAAAAACAGCAATGTAATCTTCCCATAGCATAACGTGGGCATTTTTGCTAATATCTAAAGCCGATGGAATTTCATCACAGTGTCATGTCCCCTTCTTCCAGCTTTTGGCCTGGGATTGTCCTGCTCTTTTTCTCAATCTGTAGTTGATTTTCGTCGAAGTCCTTTAGTATTGAAGGACTCTTGCTCCCTCTCTCACCTCTCATCACCTTGAGTTTTGAAGCATATAAAAAGATTCAACCTCTGGACCTGAAGGTCAACATCATTGAGGATGATATTGACTTTAAGTTACCTACTTCCTTTTGAGGGAATTATGAAAATTCAAATCATTAGACCACTTCTAGGAAATGACAAACTCAGAAACCACTTTAATATGGGTGACAAGAGAAAATGTTTATATGGAATGTATTTTGGAAACTCAGCTCTGTTTCTATGGGAGTTAAAATTTCAGTGCAGTGGGCAAGATGCATCTTCCTCTTCCATGTTCTATTGCCCAAAATGTCCTGTAAGGGGCTTCTCACTTAGGAGGAAACAGAGCTTGGGGTGGATTTTAGCGAGAGCTTAAAGTTGTAAAAGTATATCAACCAGCATTCATTTTGCACAGACAATTTGTCTTGTGAATTTGACATTGAGCCAGGAGAGTGACAAGTGAATTTAAAAGAGATTAATCTCAGTTTCCCTCATTGAGTCTCTGAGGCTATCATCACGAAGCACTGCTCTTTGTCTCTTCTGTACCCTCTTCCCTTACTTAGAGAGCATTCTCCTAATAGCTATCCTGAGGTGGGGGAGGGGAGCACTTTTCACGGTGGAAAACTGGGCTCCTCAACCCCCTCTCCATACTCTGCTCACATGAACTTATTTGTCCTCCCAAAGGTCTCAGGCCTGGGCCTAGGCATGATGCATGTGAAATCTCCTGTCAGGAAGGCCACTGGCTCCATATCCAGCTCCAATCTACTGAAAGCCCAATGCCTGAGTGTTTGACTACAGGATCCGGGACCTTTGTTCTCTGATGTGTCAGTTTGAGTTATTGATCTCTGCCTTAGCTGAATGCTCTGGAATGACCCTGACATGCCTTAGTCTTTTTTTCTGTGAAGGTGGACTTCTGGTCTTGGTGTGGCCCCACTTCCCTGCCTTGCCTTATATCCATCTTCTTCCCAGTTGCCACCCTGTTGGTTACGTGTGGTGGTAGCAGCTTTTGCAGGAGAAGGTAGGTTAACTTCACATGCTTTCATACTGCCCCACCCACCCAAATTTTCTTCCATTGGCAATTTCTTTGGGCTGTGAGGGTCAAGTTCCATGTTTTTCATGCAGGCTGCAGAGCTCTTGCAAGTTCTTTACCCATAATTCATATCCCATGGATCAAATTTATCTCAGATAATCAAATACTTAGTGTCTCCAATGGTTCCTTTTGGGGCTGATGATCTTGAGGGCTGATTCCACACTGACCTTGCATCAACGCTGGACACTGAGCTGGATAATAATAACCTATACACAGGATTGGAATTGTCTGGCATTGTTTACATTCTTATCTTCTTTGGTGAAAAAAATCTTCCTATTTGTATTGTGATTTCTCAAAATTTTAATCCTAAGGGGAAATATATCTGTTTACAAAAATGAGAAAGAGTGAGACTCTTAAATCTTTCTGTAAATCAGTAAACGCATTCTTTATGCAACTTTGATTGATTAAAATGTTTCTTCTGAAATGAATAAAAGCACTTTTGTCATTACAATATGTACAGTGTATTACCAACTGACTTTTTAGTGATATAAATCTAATTTAAAATTTTTTCATTAAAAAATATAGAAATACATAATCTTTAAAACTACCAATTCATCTATTACGTAGGAAAGATATATTTTGTTCCATACAAATTCTTACAACTTTATACCACAATTACACATGGAAGCATACAAAAACAGATGAAAACTCACACTTCTGAAACCTAAGAGATGGCCCTAACCAGCATGGCTCAGGTAGTTGAGTGTTGCTGTCCCATCCACTAAGAGGCCAATAGTTGATTCCCAATCAGGGCACATGCCCAGGTGATGGGCTAGATCCCCAGTGGGGGTGCACAGGATGCACATATTTCACCAGTGTATTCTCTATACTTACTATTTAATTTAAACATCCTCATACTTTCTCTCTCCCACTTCCTCTCCCTCTCAAATCAATAAAAATATGTTTAAAAATAAAAATAGAAAACCAATGAACAATCAAAATATGAAAGAAATTTTTGCTGACTACATATTAATGGGGTGGAAGAAAAGGTCTAATTGAGGGGCTACCTGTGTGACAATCTATCCTACCACGACTGCCTTCCCACATTCAGAAACACAAGAGCTCTGCCCATCAAAATTCTGGAATCCATCTCTCTGCTTTGCATTTGCTGCTATATCCTAGCCTCTGTCTTTCTTAGCAGTTTTTTTTTCTTCTTTCAAGTATGACTCAGAGGAAGGTGAGGACAATCATTGGTACTTTCCACTCTAGGCACTTTAGTCATCACAAGCAATATCTTTCTTTCTTTCTTTCTTTCTTTCTTTCTTTCTTTCTTTCTTTCTTTCTTTCTTTCTTTCTTTCTTTTTTGTGGGCTAAAAACAGAACTCTGGGGGTAATATTTGGGTTTGTATATTTCATCCACTCTCTTTGTTTGGAATGTCAGGATCAGGGCATACATGCATTCTAGCAGTCTAACAGAACTACTCCAGATGGGAATCCATGGGACTGTGGAAATTATACTCAAAATGACTCTTCAATCTTTTCACACCAACGAGATTGACACTCCAGTAAGGCAGGTAGAAGCAGGAGATCACACAAATCAGTAAGCTAGCATAATTGCAGGAAAACCAACTGGAGCATGAAACTCCGGGGAGTGAACTCCTCCATGACTACTGCAAAATTCCTTCTATCCAGCAATGTTGTAGGACAAGCCAGGCAATGTAGAGTTCAAACAATAATTTATGCCAACTAGCCAACAGGTTCTCTACTACTCTTTACTTCATAGGCCCAGGACATTCTGTTTTATTTTAACCCAAGCCCTCCTTATGATATCATCTAATCATGCCTGTCTCCCTTTCCTACTCCTCCCCAGTTTGTCTTGGAGCTGGGAGAAGCCAGAACATTTGTTGCATCATCCCTGATGCTATTTACTTCTTTTGCATGTCCAGTATTGTTTTATTACATTGTCATTAACCTGTGCAGAGGTCCTGTAAATGGGGCAACAGGATGAGGAAGATGTGGAGTCGCCTCACCGGGTTCCTTTGTTCCACAGTTGAATGCCAACTTCATCCACATTACTCATGTTGCATTCTTGCTTTCCCCAATCCACTATCCTATTCTTTTCTTTTATTCAATAAAAACAACACTAAATTTATCTCACATATGCACACTGTTCACCAATGTATTCACTATACTCATTATATAATTTAAATATCTTCATACTCTAATACCCATTTCCATTCTAAATAATGTTATTCATGATATGCATCAAACAATGTGTTAGCCACAGATGGGTGAGAAGGATTTAAGAAGCGAGGACAGAAAGAAACCTGGAGCACTGTTTGGATTTATATATCTTATCCACTCTCTTTGTAAAGTAAATACACAACAGTGGGGCTGACAGGAACTCACACACAACCTTTGTTGATACACATAGTTTTTGAACACGTTAACCCATATCCAAGGTTAAAGAAATGGGTAAAAACTTTAGGGTTGTTAAAAAAAAAATGGTGTCAAATAAGGAAGGGATACATAATGGCATAGAAAAAAGTGAGATTTCAGGAAAAGGTTTATGGCAAGAATTAGAAGGTCAATAAGATGTAAAATGCAACAGCAAAATTTAAATAGATTTTAGAAGCAATAAAGCAGCCATACTGATATACTGGGAAATTAAGTTATTGCTGAGCAGGGTGTCTTTTAGGGTTTCTCTTAAAATGTATAGGGAATAATAGGAGGGTAATTATAGATAAAAAGAGAAAACACAAAGTAAATCAAGAATTATGGTGTTTCTGAGAAAGGAAGCAGATTAATTGGCATGAAATCAATAATCAAAGATATAATTTAAAAAATCCTTAACTTGGCTAGTCACCTGATTACAGATTTCTAAGTAATATAAGCAAAAATAGACATCCTAGAAACTTTAAAAAATAAAAGATTGAAAAAAAATTCTATTAACGTTTGAGCAAAACGAAAATTTACTTAAAGAGTTAAACAATTAACCCAGCTGTGTGGCTCAGTTGGTTGTGCATCATCCCATATACCAAGAGGTTGCTAGTTCAATTCCAAGTTAGGGCACATACTAGAGTTTCAGGCTTTATCTCCAGTGTGGGGTGTGTAGGAAGCAGCCAATCAATAATAATCTCTCATCATTGATGTTTCTATCTCTCTCTCTCCCCTCTCCTTTCTTCTTTGAAATCAATAAAAATATTTTAAAAAATAAATAAAATCCTTTAAAAAGGATAAACAATCAGATGTGAATCTGATGTTTGTGTTAAATTTCTGGAGAAAATAAAGCCTTAGTGTACAAGTTTGAGGGTGTAAATATATGATTAAAGAATTTCATGCTGAGTCATGTTGTAAGAAAAGTTTTCTTTGCTCCATTTTTGCACTTGTGAATGTAATGTGTTTAAACCTCAGCACCTGTGCTGTAAACATCATAGGAACTGAAATGAAATTCTTGTTTTGAACAGAATCTAATGCAATCAAAGATTCCAAAAGTTATTAAAGGAATTTCTTCAGTGAAAATATGATTTCAATTGACCATCAAAGGAAGAGGAAAAGTTATTAGTTTCGAGTTTTAATGATTTCTCCAAATTGTATGACTTTTCTCTTTAGCTTATTTTTTTTTTATTTTTTTACGTTAGGAACAGGCAGGGGATGAGTTTCAACATCCAGAATAAGATTATAGAAGCAGAATCGCTGAATTGGAACAACAATAATACCTAATATTTATTGAATACTTATTGTGAACTGGTATTGATCAAAGACCTTGATATGTGTCAGCCATTTAATCTTCTTAATCTTCCTGAAACATTATTATTATTAGCCACTTTAACAGATGAGGAAACTGAGGCACAAAGAGATGAAGTTCTTTGTGTATAGTTGAACAAGGATTTGAACAGGCTTTCTGGCTGGATATTATACAGTGGATTTCTAAACACAGCTCTATCTACCCTTCCAAGTAGAAATAAAGAATACAAGAGGTCATTTATATCCATTCATTTATTTTACACATGTGAACTTTGAGAGTCAAGTGTCCATCAAGATCAAGTTTTAGGTGGCCAATAGAGTTGAGAGTACCAGTATTCTTTGTTTGAAAGTGAAAAATTCAGGTAGGAGGAAGAGTTATGAGGCAGGCAACCATCGTGGGGACAGGTTCAGTAGGAGCAGCCTGGTAGGTGTGCGTCTTCCTTTTCCTGCCTTATGACAAGTGGAGAGTGACAGACAGAGGCCTTTGTCCCCAGGCTGCAGCAGTAGGTGTATCTACTTGAGTCATAGAGGCACAGTGGAGCCCAGGTGTCTCCCGTTGACAAAGAGGACAGTTCCCACTTAATGGTTATAAGCTACTGGTTCCCTTGCCTGGAAGCACATGGGCGCCTCCTAAATTTCCAAGGTAGGTTGTGGTAACCCCAAAATAGCCTTCATACAGGCTAATATCAGATGTAGAGATAAGCATATAACCTACATTACCAAATATTTAAAGGAAACAACACTTGAAAAAAAGAACTCAATCTCAACAGAGTTAATAAGAGACATTAAAAATCTATCATAATAAAACCATAATATGCTAATTAGACTGGACACCCTTCTGGATGAAGCCAGGGCTGCGAGAGGAAGCCTGGATCCAGTGCCAGAGGGAAGCCAGTGCTGGCATCCAGGGGAAGGAAGGCCTACTCTTGCATGAATTTCATGTATTGGGCTTCTAGTATAAAATAAGAACAGAGAATTATTAAATATTTATTTAAAATTCTTGGAAATAATCTTAATTTTTACAAAAAGGTCAATAAATTGATTAAAGTGGCTGAAAAGTCAGCTGGAAGATTGAACATGGGGTCCTAGAAAAACTAGGAAAAAATAAATAGAAAGTACTTAAAATGTTAAGAAGTATGCAAAGTAGTTTAAGAAGTCCCAACATTTAACAAGGAAGATTTCAGGAACAAAGTTCTGAGAGAACTTTGGAGAGGAAGTACTCAAATATATAAGGGAAAAAAATGTACAGAATTGAAAATATGGTCATACAGATTGAGAGGGTCATTAAGAACTTACACTTCCACACAAAATTATTGATCAATGGAAAAAAGTGTTCTCAAAGCTTTGTGAGGAAGAGAAATATAATTCATACAATGGAATGAGGATCAGATTGTTATTAGCCTTTTCTTTGATCCAACAAGAAGACACATAACAATATTTGCAGTTCTGAGAGAGGAAAAGAAACTAAAATTTGTATCCATACAAACTACCAGGTTTTCCCGAAAATAAGACATCCTCCGAAAATAAGAGCTACTTACAGGTTTCCTTCTGAGTGAAATATAAGGCATCCCTCGAAAATAAGGCCTCCCTAGACTAACCATGAGAGATTTGGTCCACTGATTCTGAAAGAAATGGAGTCACAAGAAATTCACCAGGAAATTCAGGAATTGGATTGTTATGATGATGTTCCAGAAGATGATGACATGATTGTCATTGAATAAATGAGTAAATTCTTGATACTGTAGGATTCAGTTTGTCTGGTTTGTGTTGACAACTACCGTACCGTATACAGGTAATAAATTTCCTTTACTTTCATTTAATAATAAATGTGTACCGCATTCTTCTTCATGGAAAAATAAGGCATCCCCTGAAAATAAGACCTAGTGCATCTTTGGGAGCAAAAATTAATATAAGACACTATCTTATTTTCGGGGAAACAGGGTATTACTCAAGTGTGACAGCAAAATGCATGAGCAAGGACTCTAAGTGTACCATTTGCACATTTCAACCTGAAAGAGTGCCTTAAAGTTCTACTCTAAAAAAATTTAAAACATGAATTGAAGAAGAAAACGTGGGCTATGTGTAACAGTGATGCCTCCAACATAAAAAAGATTAAGACATGATTTAAGTTTAAATTAGAATAAATAATTTAAAAATTAAGATTCAGATGATTTCAACATGAGAGGTCAGTGATAATGGGGTTGAGGAGTGAAGAGGGAATTAGATGGAAATAAAAGCCATTGTTATATTTCAGGGGATGCAAGGGAGAATGGAGTAACACTTCACATTAATGGAAAATTATGTCTGGATATTTGTGTTAACCTAAGGAGAA